CCTTGGTTTATTAACCATGAAATGCATGCATTAATAACCCAAGTTTACTACCGTGAAACGATCGAACGGTTAACAAGCGTATTCGTCGATCGATTCTAGTAATAATTAATATATGAAACAAAACTAGTTGATCCTTTAAGTAATGTTCAAAATATTAATATGAAATATGAATAGGAATTAATTAATACTCAAGGAAGAATATTAATGAAGATGAATCCTACTATAGTTAATATCAAGATGTTAACTAATTGTCATCTTAGTAACACTTCTCAATATTAACATAGAGGAAGAAATAACTATTACTATAACTAATGTCAAGATGTTAACTAATTGTCATCTTAGTAACACTCCCCAACATTGATATAGAAATAGTATTTAAAGGAAGAATTAATATTCAAGGAAGAAAATTAAAGAGAATAATTCACAACTTACAAATTCATTAAGCTTCAAAGTAGCAAAACCAAGATGGAAGAGTTTAGCTCCTCATTTGGAGACTAAACATGATAAAAATATAAAGACAGTACTTAACGAAACTGAGCTTAGAAGTGTAGATGAATTGGTATCTTTATTGTGAAGGAAAGAGGTGTATTTATAGGCTTTTGGGAGCTGCAGGGTTTGATACCCGACCGGGTATATAGGATACCCGATCGGGTATCTTAGGAAATTTCCCAGAAAGTCACTTTTCTGGGCATACCCGATCGGGTATGTGACAAATCTTTTACGAAATCTTGCTCCCACGATCATTTGTCCTCGGATTTGATTTGGACAATCGAATCAAGCAAATACGCGATCGGGTATGGCTTATACCCAACCGGGTATAAGAGTATTTTATCCAAATCGAAATCTTTCTTGCCTCTTTGCACTTTCCTTGATCTTTTGAGGTCCAATCTTGATCCTTTGGATGATCTTTGACCTGTTTAGATCAGAAAAGTACTAATGTAAACAAATTACAAATAAATATGAAAATAAAGTATTACACCAAAAGTGTGTAATTTCCAACACTAGAACTAATAAAAACTAGTTAAAAATACAAACATACAATCGGAAATTACATGAATATCAGATGGTGAAACAACGTAATGGGTAAAGCCCTATGATGGCTTAATGACCTACCTAAGGTTTTATGATGATCGTGGCTAGTAGTCACGGGGAATAGGGAAGAACGTTTCAAGATGAACATGGGCCCACGGGCCGACTACTTGACTTTATATAAAGTAAGTATATTTCCAACCAGGGTAACCTAGGGTTACGGCCTATATTATGATATTACCCTATATGAGGGTCTTAGGAATTGAAACATTAATTATATACATTGTAGTTGTCATTGTATTTTTCAAATGCTTCAAAGTACTAGCATCCCCTTCACGGGGGGGGGGGGGGGGGGGGGGGGGCACCTCACAGTTTCAGGTAGAAGTTGAGCTTGCTATCAGTACTCGTTGCTTCGAGGAAGAATCTAGGAGTGAAGTGCTTCCTCTGTTTCTGCTTTTAAAACAATCACAATAATGCTCGTGGATAATATTTTTTGATATACTATTTGGGAGCTTATATGTCTAAGTTTGCCAAGTGTGGCTTGAACACTTGTAATATCGTTTCTGCTACTTTAATAAATATTTTACATTATGTTTGTTTATGAATGTACTATGTGTCTAAGTTCGCCTAGTATACTATGATTATGTTTGACTGTGGTTGACAATTCGTAATGTATGACGGATTGTTGACGTGTCCGGGTAGGTCCGGGGCACACATCATTTATGCTTGCTGGTAGAATGGATGGGTGTGATATGCAATTGGTCTGTCAGCCACCTAATTCCTCTGATCTAAATATCTTACATCTAGGGTTTTTAGGGCAATACAAACAATCCAGTACCAGAAAAGTCCAAAGACAGTCCAACAAATGGTTACAACAGTACAAGAAGCATATGCAGAATTTGGAGCACATAAGGTAAATCACAATTGGCTTCAATTACAAGGTGTCATGGTTGAGATTTTGAAATGCAAAGGAGGCAACAACTACAAAAACCCTTACACGGGAAAACAAAGATTGGAAAAACAGGGGCTGCTACCAGGTAATTTGGAAGTTAATGATGAATTGATTTTAGAAACCGTTGCTCATTTAAATGCTGCATTGGAGGATAATGAGACAATGACCACTCCACATATTTGAATGGATCAAACCTCCCTAGGTATGTAAACTAATGTACTCCCTATAATGCATTGCAAGGTCAGTTAACTGATGTAGTGAATGAACTACAAAGTTTTGAGTTTTGTCCATTTCAGTTAATGTACAATGCAATGTAAACTTCATACTTTTGCCCATTACAAGTTAATGAAATGCATTTGTGTATTCATCATTTGACTTCCTTGTTGTATTTCTCAGATATACAACACATGCTGTATATCATCATTGAAAGTGTGAGGAGTGTGAGCACTTCTCATACAAAGGAGAGAGCATATAATGAAATCAGAGAGCATACACTAAAACCAGAGACACAACAATGATTTCACAATAATGTATGTTATCATACAAATCAGAGAGCGTACACTGAAATCAGAGACACGTCTATGATTTCTAAAAAACGAATGTTATCATACAGATGAGAGAGCATACACTAAAATCAGAGACAGAACTATGATTTCTCAAATAAACTGTTATCATATAAATCATAAGAGCATACACGGAAATCAGAGATACAACAATCATTTTTAAAAAATGTTTGTTATTATAGAAATCATAGAAACATACACTGACATCAGAGACACACCAATGATTTTTCAAAAAGGTTTGTTATCACAGAAATCATAAAGCATACACTGAAATCGGAGATACAACAATGATTTTTCATAAATGTTTTGTATCATAGAAATCAGAGAAACAACATTGATTTCTCACATTAAAAGGAAGCAAAGGGAACATACGAATAACATAGTCATGTCAAACTATAGTTCATTTTGATTCAAAGTAGGCATAAAAATCCATCAAACAAAATTCCTCACAATACAAATGCAAACAGAGAACATATGATTTACCGGCAAGTGCATGTGCAATATCACCACTCAAACACCCTCAACACTTCCACAAGTCATCCCATCCTTTTTCAGAATCAGATCCAACCTTCTTTTGTGGGAGTATTAAGTTTCAGTATGGTTTCGGTGCTTTGACGCACGGCTTCAAGATCATACGTGTTTTGGTATGGATGAACTGCCATAGCCAACCTCGTCGTTCTCTCAATCCATTCTAGATGTGCCTTGTCCGCGGATTCACTCTTGGCCTGATCTGGCAAACACATGCCACCGTCGAAACATTGGAGTGGCGAATCAGGCACACACATGTCGAAATCGGAAACATGGTCTGGCGTTTCAGGCACATATAGGTAAGGATTGATCGCCTCAGAGGGGAGATCCATCTGGCTACTATGGTAGTGCGAGAAGAGAGTGAAGGAAGGAACGGGTAGAAGTTGAAGAGGTTGAGGGTGATGAATACGAAGTAGTGAAGATAATGTTAGGCAGTGGGATTCGAAAGGACGGAAGTTAATGTTAGGCGGTGGGGTGTAATTAAGGTAGTGGGTGGAGAAATAATGAGTTTATTTGTAGGGATAATAAATGAGGGTGAAAGATGGGAGGGTATATTGATATATATAGAGTAAAAACTTTCCTTAAATAGAAAGGAGAACAAATATAAAAAAACTGTCCAATATAAAATAGGGAATTTATCATTGACCTCCCTTGAGGTTTGTTGCATTATCAATCACACCCCCACACTATAAAAAATATACTCTTATCCCCTTCATATCCTTTAATGATGATTAAATAACTTTTAATTTACATTTAGAGAAAGTTATAGATATAATTTCATAATTTTTCTTTGTGCCCGCTTTTAATATTGTTATTTTACTCATTCATAAATCTGGTCGGGTTACTAATAATATTGTCCAAACTAAAGACCTTTCTATCGGAAGTTGAACCACATAAAAAATGATCAAAATTGACCTCAATCTAGACAGTTCATTTTATGCCTTTGAATTTATAAAGTGAGTAAATTTACTCAAATGAAAATGACCAAAATATGCTAAATTTGACACAATTTGAAACAAATCAATTTAAATGAACCAAACCAACTCAAAAGTGAAGTTTATTATTCGATTTTACCATTAAAAATTGAATTCAAGAAAATTCCCAATTTTGCACTTTAGACGCTCTTTGTTATCACTGAAAATGAGATCATTATAGGTATAATAATAACTTGTAAATTAATATTTTACCAAATATGAACATGTTTACATGTAAAATACTGATAAAGTCATTTCAGTTTAGGACGGGTTCCACATTCAAACTGGTTAGTGCTAAATAATTAGGGCATCCCATGACCTTATCTTCGGTTCCAATCCACTAATTGGTCTAGGTTCACTCTCGATAATTTAAATATTTCTGACTACCTATTTTTCAACTTTTAAAAGAACTATAACCCGTTTTAAAATGTTCTCAATGGTTTTAATGGAAAAAATATGAACGGGGTCAAAACATGGGCTCCAATCTCGGTCTCAAAAACTGGAGCCTGAGGTCACTTTTTCACCGGACTGGTCTCATTCCCGATCAAAAATCTTAATTCAAAAATCGGTCATTCCTGAGATCGGGCCTTGTCCTCCCCTAATATAAACCACAAAAGTAAGCATTTCCCATACAAATTTACAATATGTAACAATAGTCTCCTAAAAGTTGTTCATCGGAAAGTACGTGTTCCCGCAAAAAAGTACTTTATGGTGGAAAGATTCTTAATACATGTAAATTTATTAATCATTAGATTGAATCTACAAGTGAGTAAATTTATAAAACTAAATTTATACTTTTCCTAAACGTAATTAGGAGCTATTAAACATTCATTAAAGAACTGAGAGGGGGGTAAGCGTGTATTTTTAATATTGCAGGGGTCTAGGTGATAATACGTGGAACCTTGAGGGAGATTATAATTGTCATTTATCACAAATATTACATGTATGGGCAGCACTAAGTAGAGTTTGAACAATTTAGGCCCAAATATTGCTTGAAATTTGTGAGCCAGCGGAAGTGACCGGAACATTAAACCCCTATTTGTATATCTCAGCCGAGTCCGTTTTGGACACCCAGAATTTTTGACGTACTCTCGCTCATCTTCATTTCCTCACAATGGCGTCCGCATTTCTTACCTCAGCAAAATCCTTCACCTTACCCACTAAAACCCCTTCTCTATCCAGCTCTCGCAGATCTGCTGGTAACTTTTTGAATTCCTTTAATTTATTCAGTAATGTTTCCCTTACTTGTGCATTATTGTCAGCACGAAGAAATTGTTTTCAATATTATGTTTTGGTTTTGAATGAACAGGTTTGAGGAGAAATACTCTTAGAGTTAATGCCATCTCCAATCAATGGGAACCCTCAAAGGTTTGCCTTTTACATCATCTCTTACAAAATTTTCTTGAATTCTATGTGTTTGTTTTAGTGTATTTTATGCCTTAATGGTTTATATCTACTGAAGGGGTTGGGGTGCGAACTCAAGTGTAACTTGTTATATGTGCTTACAGGTCGTGCCACAAGCTGATAGAGTCTTGATAAGGTTAGAATCTTTGCCCGAGGTAATCTAAAAAATCCTTTTTATGTGGTTTAATTATATTAGTTTTCTCATTGTTTATTACGAATTTGATACTAGGTTTTACAGAATGAGACATTGAGCACCCTCGGTGGTGTCCTCTACCCTAAATTAATCTTTGTGTTCACTTTATTTGCGGTCAAGTAAACTGTCTTTTACTCTGATTTTATATACTAAACATTCATCATATTTGAATTCAGTTTTTAGATTTAATAGACCTTCTAATATAGTTTCTAAATACTATCTATATGCTTAGTAGATTTTAATTAATTGTAGATTTATAGTAATTTAAACAATGTCATGAAGAAATTAGCTTAATCATCATCGAACATCATGAACCATGGAGGGAGTAATAAAGAACAAAATAAAAAATATGGACCTTTTTATAACGTGTAACAGTTGAATGAAGCTCTTTCTCTGTTTTTTTAATTTTACTTTTACCACAAACGTTTAGTTTTACTCCATTTGTTTAAACTGATAGAGTTTATAAAGAATTAAAGAGACTATGTGTGTTGTAAAGAGTGTGTCTGAACTTACCTTTTACTCATTGACTCTTTGTAATCAGGATATTTCACATTGTGAAGAGTCCTATAGGCTATGTTTGGAGGGAGTTTTGATGGGAAGCTTTGGAGGGCTTAGTCCATATATTGATAAATAGAATTGTGCACCAGTACAATAATATATTATTTAGATATCAAATAAATGCTTTTTTATTCCAATTGGGGTAGTTTGGAGAACAGAACGGCCCTCCCTAGCTCCTCCCATGGTATTATGCATGCTTACCATTGAAATTGTCAACAGTTTATGTCATTGGACTGCTCATTCTTTAATGGAGAATTGGAAATTCAAATGTACCATTTACCGTTTTGATGCACATGAGTAAATTTTAATTGGTAGACATCCTATGTTATGCAGAAATCTGCGGGAGGTGTTTTGCTGCCTAAATCTGCTGTGAAATTTGAGAGGTACCTTATGGGAGAGGTGAGTGTTAGACTTCAATTTACTTTTCTTTTTTCTATTTCCATAAAGTAGCATAGATTTTGATTTGGACTGAGGCAAATAATATTCTTTGGTGTAGGTTCTCTCAGTTGGAACTGAGGTTGGTGAAGTTGTTGAGGCCGGGAAGAAGGTATGCCTTATGATTCTTTGAATCACTTACCTTTATGACTTTGTTTCGAACCTGCAAAATGACAGGGAATGGAAAGAAACTGCCAAGGAAAATAGCTTTGGAATGATTCATTTTCCATGGCAGATGCGAAGATAACTCAAATTTGATCTAAAAATGTAAGAACGTGCATATGTTTAGATTCATGTGCCCCTCCATATAATTGAGGTATAAGAAAATTAATGTGCTTCAAAAAACATCTAAAAAGATTTATTGAGTTAGGCCATTTTTAGCTTCCCCTAAATTCTTTCCTTTGAAATGTCCTCTCTATTTTCATCCACGTTTGATTTCAACATCCCCCAAGTATAAAGGACTAGAATTGGTATTACTACGGCATTAGAAAGTTCCAATGTAAAGAAGCTTTGAATTTATATGTATCTTTTATCTGATGGGAATACTTATTGTTATGCACAGGTTCTTTTCTCTGATGTGAGTGCCTATGAGGTATAGATTTTTTAAAAACTAATCCTATTTGCCATATTAACAAATTGTCCAATAATAATAATAATAGTAATATAAAAAGATAAGAAACGCTTATGAATGTGCCGATAATTGTCTGCTAGGTGAACTTGGGAACGAATGAGAAACATGTGTTCTGCAAAGCGGGTGACTTGTTGGCAGTGGTCGAATAGATGGAATTTTCGTTCTTAGACCTGTTCAAACAAACAAATGTGGTTGGTTTGCTTCTCATGTTGTACTTGAGCGCCTCTCCTATATTAAACTTCATGTAGTTTTTTGGCTTTGCCTACTTTTGACATGAAGATCCAAAGATGCTAGATTTTTAATCTAATATGCCTTTCTGGTCTCATTTTGATGGGGTGGATCTAGAATAATGCTTTTTATCAATTTATTGTGGGTAAATAACCTTGCACTATCGTTTTTATGTGTAGCTCATTAATGGATGGATCTTGCTGGTTTTTGTTTCCTCTTTTGTACCGTTTTTAGCTTACTTTTTGAAGGAACCGTCCGGGCACACCATCCTAAATGAGCATCCTGCAGTCGAAAATCAGCTTGACAATTTGGTTACTTAGGTACATCCCTAAATGCTTATCCTGCCTATCTAGAGGAACTGGAACCAGTTTGGAACGGTTCTGTATATGGAATCCAGTCAAATCTGAGCCAGACCTCAGCGCATTACTTCTTCTGTTAACAAAAAATATGTTGTTCATAAAAATCTTTAAAATGAAACTTATCTACTATCAAAATGTAATTGCCAAAACTTAATCAACCAAATCCTTATTTGCTCAGAATCGATTAGACGTTGCCGGTCAACTTTCTGAAATACGATGGTATCATGGGATGGGTATTTTTTATAGTGAAATTCGAAAACAACAGCGTAGTATACAATTTGATCATACCTTACTAGTGTGTTTTTTTCCATTTTAAGCGTTTTTATTTCAGTGGAAAGATCGACTTCTAAAACAATTTTAGATTGCATTTACAAAATATTAAAGAATAGGTACGCAATACACTAAAATTGAAAAACAATGCTGAGTTGACTTTCGTGTAAACTCCAGAACCCGTGGATAGTTATATGGGATGATGTAAGTTGAGCTTTGATCTCACTCCGATGTAAAGAGATTGAGGTTCATCCTATAAAATCTTATAGGATGAGTACTTTTGACACCCTTCAAAAACAAGGTTTTATTTATACTCTATATGGACTTGATTTACTACATATAGATTGTATTTACAAAATTTTGGCCAAATATATAAGGAAAAATGGTTAAATACTCTTCTACTAAACAAAGTATCATATAAGTACAGGCAATCATGTCATTTTGACTTGTTATCTTAGGCTATCTTAATTCTTAAAAACAAATAAGTTACGACTATTATTAAATCTTATAAAATTCATATAAATTTGAAAAATAATGTAATAATAATATAAAAAAATTACTCCCTCCGTTCCTAAAAATTCTTCCCGGTTTGACTTGGCACGCTTATTAAGAAAGTGGAAATGTATGGTTGTGGTTGTGTAAGAAAAAGGTAAAATGAATGTGAGCCACACAAATTGTCCAAAATGGGAAAGTGGGAAGTTTTTTTGGGAACAACCTAAAAAGGAAAGTGAAAAGTATTTTTGAGAACGGATGGAGTAGATAAATATAAAAATAGACAATAGTTTAAAAACTTTAAAATAAAAAAAAAAACTGAAAAATAAAGTGAAAATGTAAAAAATATAAAATAGAAAATGTAAAAACATTTCAAGTAGACGTAGAATATAAAAATAATTTGAAAATTGCAGAAATATTTACTTTGACATTTTGAAAATTTTCACTATTTTCATCTACATTTGTTCAAATTTTAACAATTTTTTGTTTTTTTAATTGAAAAAAACTGCTATTAGAGGTCAAAAAATGATTGAATGGCCATATTGATCAATTTTTAAGTAAATCTGCTTATATGATATTTTTGATACATAGTCTTAAGTGATAGATTAGAAATAATAGCACTTATTTGATAGTTCTTGTATTTTATTTTATTTTATATTACTTTGAGAATTTTATTCTGGTTGGAAAGATTCTAGAGACTTCTGAAACTTCTATTGAGACTTCTATTAACAATGCGCATGTATAAGTGTATAACACTAACATTCAAAAACAATGTCGTGTTGGCTCCAAAGAGGAATAGTATTTAGACTATTCAAATATGCTATAAATATCTTGTTGTATTATATCTGAGCTCAAGTGTTTTATATCTCATTAGAAAGATCGGACAGAGTTCTAAGACTCATATCCAGACTTCATTTATCAATCATCAAAGGATGGTCACGAATTAAATCGAAATTAAAAAACAACGCCAAGTTGATTAGAAATAGGTGTATTAGATTTGTTAATTGAGCGCATAGAGGTCGGGGGCTGGTGGGATCTTAGGATAAATAGGGTTGAAACTTCCTCCATGGACTTTCGAACTCTAGATCTCCGGCATGGGAGAGTGTTTTGCTCTGGATTCTTTTCCATGCCGTAAATCGTCAATAGTTTGTCTTGCTCTGGAACCACTTCCATACCAGGAAGTGCTTTGTGGAAAATTTTTATTCTGTAGCGATTCTTGTTCTGCAAGGATAAATAGGGTTGAAACTATTGACGGCATGGAAAAGTATCGCTATAGAATAGAACAAACACAACAACGAAAGAAAAGCAGACAAGTTTGGTCATACTTCTAGAGTGATACTCCTTGCGTCCCGCTAGAAGGTTCCTGTTGACGGTTTACGATGCTCGACTGACGATAAAGCAACTTAATCCACATTCACACTGATTATTTTTAGTAAATAAAAATAACATAATCAGAAACTACATTAAAACCGTTACAAAGCCTGATAAACAAATTGTAAATTTGATAAAAAATTGATTTATAAAGTAAAAGATAAAAAATGATTTAAGTTGACCATGTGAATAGTGGACGAGAACCTTCTAATGGGACGAAGGTAATATCATCTCCAACCTAGTCGGAGAGAACGAATGCAAAGCATCCATCCTCTTCCCAATTGTGCGCTCATCCTGGTCACACTACGAGCATAGATCTACGAGATTGGTCGCTGCTGGAGTTTTTAGTGTCTCACACCGGAAAGTTGTAAAAACAATAAACTACTATATAAGTAGGGATGGACTCGGGTCCGGGCCGGGGTTGGGTCGGGCCTAGGCCCGGGCGGGCCGGCGGTTCAGAAATGGTGGACCCGGGACCGGCCCGAGTAACCACCAGGTCCGGGCCAGGCCCATTATCATTTTTTTTCCCTCTTCCTAATTAACCCCCCTCCCACCCCCAACACCCCAAACCACCCCAAATGGCCCAAAATACCCAACCCAACATGAAAATTTAAAAAAAATTGAAAAAAAAATAGTTTTAAGCCCGAACCGGGCCCGGGCCTCGCCGGGTCGGGCCTTGTTTTGGGTTACCCGAGCCCGGACCGGAAAACCCACGGGCCGGGCCTACCCGGACCGGTCACTGACCGGGCCACCGGGTCGGGCCGGAACAGTACCGGTCCCGGGCCGGTTCCGGGTCGGGCCACCCGGCTCGAGTCCATCCCTATATATAAGGCTTTGAGTCACTCCTTCTATCAGGTTGACCTTTTATGATGAAATCCCACGTCTTAACATGATATCAGAGTCAATTCCGGTTAGGGATGGACTCGGGTCTGGGCCGGGTCCGAGTCGGGCCTAGGCCTAGGCGGGCCGGCGGTTCAGAAATGGTGGACCCGGGACCGGACCGGGTAACCACCGGGTCCGGTCCGGGCCGGGCCGGGCCCATTATCATTTTTTTTTGTTTTCCTCTTCCTAATTAACCCCCCTCCCACCCCCAACCCCCCAAACCACCCCCAACCCCCCAAACCACCCCAAATGGCCCAAAATACCCAGCCCAACCTGAAAATTTAAAAAAAATTGAAAAAAAAAGAATAGTTTTTGGTCCGAACCGGGCCCGGGCTCGGCCGGATCGAGCCTTGTTTTGGGTGACCCGAGCCCGGACCGGAAAACCTACAGGCCGGGCCTACCCGGACCGGTCACTGACCGGGTCGGGCCGGGCCGGAACAGTACCGGTCCCGGGCCGGTTCCGGTTCGGACCACCCGGCCCGAGTCCATCCCTAATTCCGGTTGTGGTTTGACCGCTTATTAGCACCCATAATTACAGGTAGCTTGTTAAGGGTCTGTTTGGCTCATTTATACACTCCAATATTATCCAGCCCGGTTCGGACTGAGATGACATGTTAGAGTATTTATTCCACAGCGGAAAGCTATAAAAACAATAAACCACTATATAAGACTTTAGATTACTCCTCATATCAGATTGAACTTTTAGGATGGAACCCCAAGTCTTAACATTTAGAGTTGTGCACCACTTAATTCTCCTTTTTCCTTTACACATACATATGGATCATAGAGTTTTATAATTCGCATTTATACTTCATTTACCAAAAAACATCGAGTTAACTCCAAAGTCCAAACAAGCGAAGTACTCATGAAATATAAAATTTCTCACAAAACCCCATCTAAAAATAAATGTAATTACCATATAAAAGAAAACTGAATAGTATTTTTGTACTCCCTCCGTCCCCCTTATATTTGTACGGAAGGGAGTGATGTGAATTTTAAGAAAAGTAGAATTATCTGATTGGTAATGAGTTGATAAAGTGAAAATAAAGTAAGAATGAATTAGAACCACACAAATGTTACCAAATATGATATGAGACAATAATAAATGGACATCCAAAAATGGAAAAATGGAACAATTATAGGGGGTGGAAAGAGTTTAATTTAGACATCTTAATAAAGTTAGTTACATATTCAATCATATTATTAAGACAAATGAATTGTGCTGTGATGCGATTGCTCAGGAACACATACCTATCTTAGAGTAATGTTTTTACAATTCTTCTTGGTTGTTTATTAAGCCAAGTGACGAACAATATGCTTATTTAATGAGATGATTGATTTTTTGTTTTAAAAAAATACAAGTGATTTCCAAATTGTTAAAGTTACTCTTAAAAGGGACTTTGCGCGTGAATAAGTATAACACAAGTGGATTTGATGCATTTCTTAAATCATAGTGACTTGATGCGCCGAGTTTATATATCACGAAAAGGTTTGTTTATCTCATTGACAAGACCATCCACCAAAACCCACTTGGAGTGTTGGATGATAAAGAACATATTCATAGATATTAAAAGAAGTCTGTGTAAGACGCTGGCAGGGTGATACAACAGAATTGTTTGCATAAAACATCAACCCACCCTGACCTGCAAAGTTAGGGGGCTGGTTGTAGCTAATAATAACAGGAAGTGGGTTTTAGAACTCAAACACACGCAATTCAAGCATAGCCTCATTTCTCCTGGGAGAATACCATGCCACCACTTTCCCAGAATGCAGTACTCTGAGGGAGTAGTCCAAGCTAAGCACATAATCTTCTAATCTTGGCAAAGGTAATCCAGATGATGAAATACAATACCTCGAGTCAATGCGGAACACAACTGGTCCAATCACCTGCATATTTAAATTTTAAGATGAGAACAGAAAAGAAGTGTTTGAAGTTATTTTCTTTGAAAAAACTATTCTTGGAAGAATAAGTTTTTTATGCATGCGTAATACAAGGTAGAACGATCAAATTAAGCAAATCTTAATTTCTGCACTTCGGGTTCTTTTTGGACCAAAAAGAAAGGATCTCGACCATCAAGTGATGTGGGTCATTTTTTCACATATCTTGAGAACATTCAATGGCAGAGGGTCTGCTTCCAAAAAGAACATTCAAAACATTTTAGGCCATTCTTTTAACGTATGGCGTTGTTGGGCGGTGAAGCAATGCCACATTCAAAAGATGAGTGTGACAGAGATGTGTATGTTGCGTTGGATGTGTGGACATACCAGAAAAGATCGCTTGAGGAATGAGGTAATCAGACAAAAGGTGAGAGTAACACCTATAGAAGATAAGATGCAGGGCTCTCGTTTGCGATGGTTTGGGCATGTGCATAGAAGACCGAGTGATGCACTTATTAGATGACTTGAGGGGCGGGGAGAAGAGTCAGAAAAGAGAGGGAGGGGAAGACCCAAAACAGACTTGGATTAGAGGAATTAGAACTGATATGCATCTTCTTGGGTTGGATGAGAGTATGGTTTTGGAGAAAGCAAAGTGGAGAGCGCACATCCATGTGGACGATTGATGTCTTGTCTACCTTTCCTCTCTTTTTTTCTTTTATCGTTTATCTTCCTTATCTTTTTATATTCTTATGTTATTTTTATCTTCTAGCTTTTTTATGCTCTTTTATTTTTTATTTTTGTTATATTCTTGTGTTATTGATATCTTATATTTATTTATCTTTATTTTATTCATTTTATCTTACTTTTTTTCTTTTTCTTGTTCATCTTCTCTTTTTGGCATCGATATCATAGATCAATTCATGTTAGCGGACCCCAAATTCTTTTGGGATTAAGGCTTGGATGTTGTTGTTGTTGTAAGCCATTCTTTTAAAGAATTTTATCAATTCAGGACCCGAAAAATAGATTAATTATCAATTCAGAACCCGAAAGATGAAACGTATCGGTATAAGACCCGAATGATGGAAAACTATCAATTTAGGCCCTAACGTTTCATAGGTTTTGATTTATTTAATTTTTTATTAATTCCATTACTAATTTTTGATAAACTTTTCTTCACAAAAGTTTATTAGTTTAATAAAACGAAACAATATTTAAATTTTTTTAATAATTTTTTTTTGACAACTTAGGTCCTAGATTAATAGTTTTCAATCATTCAAGTCCTAAATTGATAGTTTTTCATCATTCGGGTCCTATATCAATGCATTTTATCTTTCAGGTCCCGAATTGATAATTAATCTATCTTTCGGGTTCTGAATTGATAAAATTCCTTCTTTTAACGCAAGCAACACAGTTCTTTCAACAAAAACAACATCTAAGCCTTAATCTGAAAAGAATTTTGGATCAGCTAACATGAATCGATCTATGATATCGGTGCCAAACAGAGAAGATGGACAAGAAAGTGAAACAAAAAAAGTAAGATAAAACGAATAAAATAAAGATAAATAAATACTCCCTCCGGTCCCAAAGCAAATTCACACTCACTATTCATTGGTCAACTTAAATCAATGTTAATCTTTTACTTTATATATCAATTTTTTATCAAATTTAAATTTTCTTGATCAGACTTTGTAGCGGTTTTAATGTAGTATCTGAATATGTAAATTTTATTTACTAAAAATAATTCGAGCGTGAACAGGGATCAAGTTGCTTTATCATCAGTCAAACATCGTACACCGTGAGTGAATTTGTTTTGGGACCAGAGGGAATTTAAGATAACACTAACACAAGAATATAAGAAAGATAAAAGAAGAAAAGAGCATAAAAAAGCTAGAAGATAAAAATAACATAAGAATATAAAAGGATAAATAAGATAAACGATAAAAAAAAGAGAAAAGGTAGAAAAGACATCAATCGCCCACACGGATGTGCGCCCTCCACTTTGCTCTCTCCAAAGCTACTCTCATCCAACCCAAGTCGTCTAACAGGTGGATCTTCCCCTCCCTCTCTTCTCTGCCTCTTCTCCCCACTACTCAAGTCGTCTAACAGGTGCATCACTCGGTCTTCTACGCATATGCCCAAACCACCGCAAACGAGACTCCTGCATCTTATCTTCTATAGGTGCTACTCTCACCTTTTGTCTGATTATCTCATTTCTCAAGCGATCGTTTCCGGTATGTCCACACATCCAACGCAACATATGCATCTCTGCCACACTCATCTTTTGAATGTGACATTGCTTCATTGCCCAACACTCTACAACATACATTAATGCAGACCTAATTGATGTTCGATAAAATTTACTTTACGGTCTAGTCAGCATACCTCGATCGCATAGAAATCTTGAAGCACTCTTCCTTTCATTCACCCAGTTCTAATTCAATGACATACATCTCCATATAATTCACCATCCTTCTGAATTATGGACCCTAAGTAACGGAACATATCACACATCAGTATCTCCTTACCATCAAGAGTAATGTCACTGTTGCTACTACTTCTACCTCCACCAAACTTGCACTCCATATACTCAGTCTTGCTTCGGCTCAGTCTGAAATCCTTGGTCTCCAATGTTTGTCGCCATACTTCCAACTTTGCTTGAACACCGGATTGTGTCTCATCAATCAATACAATATCATCAGAAAACATCATGCACCACGGTATATCTTCTTGAATTGACTTCGTAAGTTCATATATGACTATAACAAATAAGAAAGGACTCAGAGCAGATCCTTGGTGCACTCCGATAGTAATAGGGAACTCTGCGATCCTTCCTACACTAGTGCAGACACTTGTAGAACAAACATCATACATATCCATGATGATACTGATATACTAACGTGATATGCCTTTTATAGTTAAGGCCCACCAAAGGACTTCTCGAGGTACCCTATCATATGGCTTTTCTAAGCCAATGAACACCAATGCGGATCCTTTTTAGTGTCTCTATACTTCTCCACAACTTATCTAAGAAGGTGAATGACCTCGGTTGTTGAGCGTTCATGTATAAAACCAAATTGATTCTTCGAAATTTTAACTTTTGCGAAGTCTTTGCACAACCACTCGCTTCCAAAGTTTCATGATGTGACTCATAAGCTTAATCCCTCGATATAAGAGTACTCTTTCGCCAACTCAGTGGCATTTTGTACATCACCCTTATTTTTAAATAAGGGAATGAGAGTTAACACATTCTTGTACATCACCCTTATTTTTAAATAAGGGAATAAGAGTACTCTTTCACCAACTCAGTGGCATTTTGTTGTTTCTCCAAACCATGTTGAAGAAACGTGTTAGCCACTCGATGCCTTTCTCTCCCAAACTTCTCCAAGCCTCGATTAGTATGCCATCTAGGCCCACTGCTTTCTTCCGCCCCATTTTTCTCATAGCCTCTTTAACTTCTGTTGTTTGAACCCTTCTCATGAAGTCCCGATTTACCATACACTCTGGTATAGTAAGATCATCAATACCTTGCACTTTATTCCTGTTGAACAAAGTATCAAAGTATGACCTCCACCTCTCTTTTATTTTTTCGTCCTCAATAAGTACCCTTTGATCGACATCTTTCACACTTAACTTTTCCGACATCTTGAGTCCTACAGTCACGAAGACGAGTAAGTCTGTAGATATCTTTTTCTCCTTCCTTAGAGAGAGGAGCTTTTGTATGTTCTATTGACTTTCTTTTTCTTTTTGGGCAAAATTGTTGGGGATTTGGGGAGGGACTAGGACATAGCAGGAATCATAATTAGGTCTCACAACTAGGGTAGATAACTGAGAATAAAAAAGGTAAAAAAAACATTTTTCATTGGACCATTCAAGAGCACCGTTAATGGGGTTTCAAAAGGACACATACTCATGAAGCTGTAATACGGGTTTCTTGGGTATTACAGTGGAATGAAACCGTAATAGCTTATCTAAGTTTCATATATAACCTTTTGTGTACAATTTCACCTTTCTCCCTACAATATAATGCAATCCAACAAAATAAAGAAAAAGTTAAACTTGAACAGAAAAATGACTTTATTTTCTTGAGTTTTCCCTAGAATTTCTCGTCATAAATTCTTCCCATGACTTTGGGATGCCCCATAAGTAATTTAAATACTCCCTCTGTTCCATGAAATTCTTGTCTCTTACCTTTTTCGGATGTCCCAAAAAATACTTCTCATTTCCCTTTTTGGAAAGTATTGTGTGGTTAAAATTAAATTACATTTTCCTTACTCAATCACAACCATACATTTCCACTTTATTCTCACTTAGTCACTTTCTTAAACTCTTGTCTATGTCAAACCGGGAAGAATTTTATGGGACAGAGGGAGTGTGCTCCATTCGATCAAAGAAATACACCTGGCAACAAATCTCTTTCATGCTTATGGCTAATTGCAATTCGAAAAATACATTTGGAGATATTTTTTATTTGGAAATACATTCACAATTTATTTAAAACGTATATAATGAACATAAAAAGGATGAGCAAGTAGTGTTTCACAATGATTCAAATTTTAGTTTTCTTAATTACCTGCTGTTGTAAGATCAAGTTCAGCCTGGGGGAATACAGTCCATCTCTTGCACTGTTACTGGTAGCACCCGTGAAAAGTTTAGAAACCCGTTTGGCTAATGCTGCCGCAGAACGTATGTCTAAACGAGCATCTACTCTGGTGAGGTCATTAAATAAATTTCTGAATTTTCCATGCTGGAAAGTATAGCTAGCCGAGGCAAACAAGTCAGCACTGAAGCTGCTCCTAGTAGAGCCTAGATAAGTGTGATTTCCACCACCAACCCATGCAGCACAAGTTCCACCTGAAATGAATGGGCAAACATTGTCTTAACGGTGGACATTGAGGCAAGGTTTGGACTCAGAAAATTGTAGGGCTAACTGATAAAAGAAGTACAGAACAGAATTTCAAGGAGACATCATATTTATGCTGGCCTTACCTTAGAAAACACAAAAGGAGAATCAACTATGATTACATTTTTAATTGAAAGAATGACATAAATATCACCTCTATACTTTTGGAGAACAAGAATATAAGTAGTTGTTTGTATCCAAATACGTGACTTACCTTCAAATCTTTAAATAATTATACTACCTTGTCCTTCCAATCCCTACCAAACTTTCCCCCACCTGCACAGCTACCGGTGCCTACTACCGGATTTTTTTTTCCTGATTTTTAATTGACTGGAAATTTTTGTTGATGGCCACAGTGACAAGTTAGACAGTGGTAGTGACAGTCACACGCCTAGCAACCTGTTCGTGGAGTGACATAATAAATTGTATTTTCCCAATTTTAGTACCTTGTAAGTCACATTTATGTCCAGATATATTAAATGTAGTCAATTTTTAGAATTGGGCTTCAATATAGTACTACCTCCATCCCCCTGTTATTGTCCCATTGCGGTTTACGACGCTTGACTGACGATAAAGCAAACATATCCCTGTCTGCACTAGAATTATTTTTAGAAAAAAAAATTTCATATTCAGAAACTACATTAAAAGTTTTACAAAGTCGCAAAAAACAGAATCAAATTTGATAAAAATTTGATAAATAAAGAGAATACGAGTAATTTGTGTTGACCAAGTGAATAGGAAATGGGACAATAACAGGAGAGACGGAGGGAGTAATACTTTAAGAGAAACCCTTTTTAATTCTTTTCACATGTATTTACCCAATTTGAGTCTTAGCACCGTAGAAATATCTACCATTTATTGATTTTGAACCAATTTGTTAGCATCCCTTCCATTTCATTTGTTCCAAATTTCCCCTCTATTGCATTCCTAGTTTCTTTACGTCAGCATTTTCAGAGTTCCAAACAGATGCTTATGTCTGGTTTTAGCCTTGGAATCGGAAAGTATGAAGAAAAAGCAAATCTGATCAAAACTTTGTAAGACTTTACACATATTTAGAATCTAAGGTAATTTTTAATGTACATAGTTTGAACCAGTTTTCAATTTTTCCTCAAATTTTATTTCCTTCCAAATTTCTCCTCTGTTTTGTTATTTATTTTCTTTGCACAAATATCAAAAAAAATTATTGCACAAATATCAAAAAAAATTATTGCACAAACTGAAAACTTACCAATGATTCCAGATATTGTTGCGTGAGGCTCCTTAAGATGAAGATCATAAGCAGGCCTGAAATACAACTGCTCATTTCTCATTATGAAACAATCTTTCTCTTCTTCTTTCTCTCTCCAAATTTCTTTTTGCTTCTCATAAGAAAAAGCAGCTTTTGCACATACTCCTGGCATCAGAGCAGGAGGGGGTGCATCATTAGTGTTATCAATCGCAATGGGTTGGCCGCTGTTTTTATGTATACCAAACCGATATCGCAATCCGGATGATGAAACGAGTGATGCGCAGTCAAGAGATATTGACTCTGGAACGTCCCAGTATCTTCCTTTGTGATCTATGAATCGCTCAGGCCAAGCAGTTTCCAATGTAATGTCATGGTCTGGAAGCTGCATGGGAAAAATGAACTTACATTCAACATCATTGAATGGAGAGTAAGAACTAGATGTGAGTATTAAGTATAAGAAATTGTAATCATGATGTGATGAAATGAGCGCACACATTAAACAAATGGTTTCCATTACGAGTTTTGCTTCATGGATTCTCTGAATTCCAATAGCTCAAATAAAAACTGACTTACTGACCCCTTCCCCCTAAAACAAAGAAATTGTTAAATAATACGAAGAAAACCATTAATATAAAAATACGCTTTGTTATAAACTATCACTCATTAATTTAGTTTCTAGATAATAATTTATTAACATTTTTTATTTTACATTTTAGATGTGCATAAGTATTGTTGAATTATTGTGTTCAGAATTAATCTTTAACTTTTCGATGATTAGCCTTTTAGTTATAATTATAACGTGAAATAACTTGGTAATGGTTAATAGATACTCTTTCTGTCCCAAAATAAATTCAATTCTTTCCTTTTTCATCCATCCCAATATAAACTCCTTTTTCCTTTTATGGAAAATAATTTGTACTTCATGGCATTTCTCTCTCTTCCACACAGCTTTAGGGCACAAAATTTCCACTTTCTTAATCCTTGTGCCCAGTGAAAACAGGAGTTAATTATGGGACGGAGGGAGTATGTTAAATGCCAAAAATTATAACTTTTAAAATATTGTAGAAATCATGTTTGGTATTGCAGAGAATATAATACCTAAAAATGGAAATGAAGACAAAAAAATTATTTGGTTGATTTTATATGCATATAGCTCACATGCCATGTGTGCATTGTGCACATTGCATCATTGGAGATTGTTAGAGATGCTCTTTGAGTGATCGGTAATTTAGCTCCCCACCCCTCAAAGGTCTTTTGTGCTTGCTTTCTCAAGATAGTTTTGGTGTTTCCTTTACAAGGGTTGTGAGGCAATGATGTCATTTAGAAGCAAGACAAACACAAATTTGCATATATACTCTTATTATGTGCTTGTTTCCTAATTCCTAAGCACTTCAGTTCCTATATGTGTAAAGGAGCCCCATTTCCAGATTCCAATGTTCAAAAGGCATTTTTATTTGCAAGGGGAGGCATAGGCCTCAAGCTTTTTACTGAACTCCCTTTAAAATTAAAAAAATACTAGTAATCTAAATTATAAATATGTGGCATAAACCACTATCATAAGTTTAACTTTTTAAATGAATGTTTTTAAGATTTATCCCACTTAGTAGTTATTACAAACATAAAAAGTTGTTAATATGAGAAAAATGGAGAAGAAATGGCTTGATCCTAGAGAATTTGATATTCTGATCAAGTTTCATAAAAAGAAAAAAAATTAAAGAAGTTATGCTACTTGTGTTGTAATTGTTCAATGTAAAGGAAAAGAAAAAACATCAAGAGTTGTTTAAATCATTTGAACCTTGCTAGAGAGAAGAGAACAAAAGAATATTTGACAAATATAGTATCACTTTGGAGAGAGCGAAGTGGAGGGATAATATATGTGTGGAGGATTGATCTCATTTTATCTTTTTAGCTCCAATTCCATATAACGATTCATGTTAGCCGACTACAAAATCTTTTGAGACTAAGGCTTAGATGTTGTGAGGTGTTGTTGACTGAAAATCATAATATTATGTTACAATTATACCATGTTAAAAGTTATAGCATACTATCTTGCCTTATGCATGAACATTGCCTTCACGCGTTGCCCCTCCCTCTCACCCGGCTTCTCCATGTTTAATAATATGGAAGACGAATCCGTCAGGGAAAGGTGTGAGCATGCACCAAGCCAATAAAATGATTTGTCAATAAAACACTTAGGCAGACCTTTGAATGTTGACAGTTCCAAATCCACCCACTCGATTTTCGGACCTATCTCTGCTCTGATGGCATTTATTTCTTCTTTGAGTTTAGATATCAGCTTCTTAGGACGAACTTGTCCCACTAATCCAACCCACCTAGAGAGAATCAAGTGTTAATTACTCCATCATGGGTTACTTGGCATCTAATGAGCTAAAATAGACTGGTTGTTTAAAGAGCATGAAACAATAATATGTGGCATATCTCAAACAGAGAACACAATATTATATGTGGCATATCTCAAACAGAAAGGATTACTATGCTGCCCTAATGGCCCACTTCGGTGTCACTGCTAATTTTTAGTTTTTTTAGTTAAAGATGTTAAACAGGTATATGTATAGATCGTTTGATAAACCAAACAGTAGTCATACATATTACATATACTAATCATGTGAACCTTTTAGAAAAATAACATAAAACTCCAAAATTCACTTATTTTAATTTTCATTACCCTGTTTTTAGTTCACATAAAACGAGAAACAATGCAGAATGAGTCCTAAGATTTCAATTAGCCCATTAATTAACAACACATGAGCCAAGTCCATTAGTCCATCACAGGCAATTTTCGAGATACGAATAAAAACTAAAAACATATAAAATAAGACTCCAACATTTCCGCTGGGTGCTATGAAAAGAGTACCAATTTGAAATGGCAGCTCTGAGAAAGAGAGACTGGAGAGCAAAAGAGCCCAATTCTTTCCTAGACGGAGGAGAGAAAGAAGGGACGAGACCTAGAGGGAACCCATTTCCGATAAGAGAGAGCTGTTGTATTCGGAGAGCTTGATTGGTTCTACCGCCGTTCATTGGCATGGGCTCGTCCGGAATGGACCTGGCTGTACCGTCTAGGGTTCGAGCAGTAGACACGTTGAGATCCCAAAATGCCGAGTCAATCGCTGTCCGGAGTTGCGCCATTTCGCAGACGAGCTGGGCGGCGTGGGAATGAGCTCGTGGCGAAATAAAGTGATTGTTCCTTATTTGTAGGTAGACTGTTAAAGAGGGTTTTGGGAGTGGCGAGGTTTATGTTCTGTTCCGTGTTCATTATTTTTTTCTTGGGTGACCGGTATTGACTGCAAATTATACCTTAGACCATCTTTAATCCCAATTTATACCCTTGGATCCCAAAATGACGCAGCATTCTTTATTTTTTTTTCTTTTATAAATTTTATATCAAATTTTTTTATTTTTCATGATCTATCAAATGAGACCAATATTGCTTATGTAATTTTAACAAATTATTTTGAAGTTACATTTGATAATATATCATGAAGTTAAATCTTCTTCTGCGCGAGTTACATCTTATTGTACGCGAGTTACATCTTAATATACATGATTTACATCTTAATGTATGTGAGTTACACCATGAAATAAACCCCTGCTACATCTTTCATTTTTATCATTTGAAAAATAGTGTATGAATATGAAATACAATATACTTATTTTATGTGGATTAATAAAATTTTGTATTAAATTGGAAAAGAAAAAAATTAATTCAGTTATAATTGAATTAGTTCAAGATAAAGATAAGTAAAAAATCACAAATAATTAGATATAACTCACACATAATTACATGTAACTCGCGCATAAAAGTATGTAACTCGTGTATAACAAGATGTAACTCACACATAACAAGATGTAACTCACACAAAATTACATGTAACTCTCGCATAAAAGTATGTAACTCGTGTATAGCAAGATGTAACTCACACATAACAAGATGTATCTCACATATAATAACTTGTAACTGGAGTATAAGATGATGTAACTTCGTATATTATCAAATGTAACTCCAAGCTAGAAGCAAAGAATAAACAAACTCAATATCTTAAAAACCTCTAAAACATATAAAAGTGATAAAAAAATATATTATAGAAAAAGTGTATGCATATAAAAATATATTATACAAAAATGTATGAATGTAAAAAATTAAAATTACATAGGCAGTATTGGTCTCATTTGAAAGATCATGAAAAATAAAAAAATTTGGTATAAATTTTATAAAAATCGGATCAAAAATAAAAAAATTATTAACAATTTTAAGAAAATGAGAAATAAAAAATAACAAAGGGTGCATGGTGCTCACCATGCACCGGTATCACGGTATAAGCACTGATCTTTAATGCTCCACTTTAAAAAAATCGTGCCACATCACAACATTCTAAAGTATTGGTTTTTTCCAGCTTTAATGGACTCTTTCGTGTGCTGAGGTGTACAAAATACTTGTAGACATCGTGAACCATACTTTCTTAAACTGAAAAGCCAGTTTAACTGGCTGACTCAGCAAATTAATGCGGATCGTGGGGGAAACAGGCGGGTTTCACGTATGCGGGAAAAAATGGCGCAATCACTACCTAAAAAAATAGCGCCAATCTATTTCCATTATTCTGTACTAGTATAAGCCACCGTCTCAGCCATAGCCACAATTCTTACCGACCTATATTCTTGAATTGGGAATCCAGAGCCTTCTGATTTTTTCTCCTTCTCAGCCGTCTCAGCACACAACTTTTTCTCTTTTTGGAAGGACAATCTTCTAGCTCTCTAATTTGGTGTTATCTACCTTCACAAACGAGGTAATGCTTTTTTTAATTTCTCAGGGAAGATGGTGAATCTATCGGTTTGCATTTTATGTGATTTATGAATTGGGTTTGAGATAAATTTGGTTGTTGAGATAATTGAGTCTCTCCCTCAATAGAGGCTCAAAATTCCCACCTCCAGGAGCGAGACTGAATGTCAGGCGACAAGCTATTTGAGACCACCGTCTCTACACTTTAGTTAGGTGGTCCGGGTTCCCTGTTAAACCTTTCAAAAAAGAAAAAGTATCATTCGAATTCCAAATCTGATTTTCAAGAATTTTTCACAACTTCCATTAGCAAATATAATGACAGAGGTTGGGTTGATTTGTTTAGTGCTATCCTCATTTTGTTTTATGTATTTGTTCAATTTTAGGTATTATGAATAATTCTAATTCTAGATGTTATCAAGAGTTATATGATTATATCAGATACTAGATTTTAGCAAGATAGAGATGTAAGATTTTCTTAGTTACTAACTATGTAGTAAAACTTAGTATTCTTATTTATGTAGTGATCTTTTTATTTCAGGACAAGTTGGATTATTTATCTCCTTCTACTAGTTACCATTTTGCTACTCTAAATTTATAAATTAATTTGGCAAGTAATTCACTATCCATTAGCTACGTATGTGTAGTTTATTGGTTGGTTCAGTGCATATTGGTAAGGAATTTAGAAGGAAATGCTCCTGTACATACTTGATTTTACTATTAAGCATTAATTAAATTATTAAAGTAATATACGATACATGTGCAGGCTGAATTTTGAAGTGGAACTTGCAATTCTTACTTACTGTAATCCAGATTGAATATTTACATACATAGACACCTTGCACATCATTTGATTTGTGGATTAACTATCCTTCTATGGCTACTTTGAAAACATGAGAAATTCAGTTCTTTTAACAATATACTCACACCATTTTCTTTTTATTCTCTACATATGTGCTATTTATGCACAGAAAGGATTAGGCTGCATATACATGGACTCACAGGACCGTGCTAACCTTTCATTTACTACCGATAATCAATCTGCCAGTTACGTACCGATTCCATCCCAGAATTTGAACCAATTTAACCCAATGAACAATCCAATGCAGCCTATGTATTACTTTGATCCAATAAACATTCAATAGCGGTGCTCTCTCCAATTTGCACATATTCATCAAGAGAATCGGCTGAACAACCATATGCAAGCATGCGTATTGCTGCTACCACTTTTTGTAAAGAGCTCAACCCAATATTTCCTACTGCATCAGTCTTTTGGATGAAGTAATCACCATAACTCTCGACGGCATGCCAAATTCGTTTAAATAGATCAATATCCATTCGAAACCTTCGCTGAAATGTATCCGGTGTATACTTTGATTGCTCACCTTTGAAATAATCACTAAAAATCATATCATGCCGCTCTTTTCTATCACGTCGGATATAAACCCTACCAAATTTCGAACCGCCATGTGGGAGCTTTTTTCCACTAACAGTGTGGAAATCATCATAGGAACATGAACTGCACAAGTCTGAACAACATTGGAGTTTGTTTCCTCATAAACATCATCTCTTGTGATTGGCTTATCAAATAATTTTTTAGTAAGAGAGAGGGATCTCGAGCTGGATGTTCCACTATCAGATTCCGATTCATAATTCAGTGATGCCATATATTATAATATGAACCTGTTAAAAAAATAATTCACACTTGATCTCATAAGTTTGCATTCAAAATTATTCTCAATATATTATACGCATGTAAATTTTTGTTCTCAACAAATTGAAAGAATATTACCTTGAGCCAAGGTTTTGAAAGGCGAAATCGGGCCTCGAGGCGTTCGGGGGAAGCCTTCCGAGGCGTAAGCCTCGAGGCGTAACGAGGCGTAAGCCCCGAAATTTAATTGCTTAAGTGTTGCTACATGCCTATGACATATTAGGAGGTATAGATAATTCATAACAATAACATAGCTAAACAAAATCACAAGTAAAAATAACACAACTACAAAATATTCAAGTCCAAATAATATAAAACTGAAATACCAAAGTCAAAACTCAAAAGAACATAAAACATTAAAATTCTAAGACAAGAAAATAAAAGTTTAGGAATTTAAGTTTGCAAATTGACAAATTGCAACTATTAATCTTCAAAACTAAGCCTATCGTCCTCTTCATCAGTATCCAAATTAGTAGTATCCAAATTAGTAATGTCATTCTCATTGCCATCTCCTTCATTATCACTGGCCTCATTATCTTCTTCAGTTCCAACTGTAAGGTCTACTCCTACACACATAAAGTCACAAAAATAGAATGAAACGGAATGGAAGTTAAGTATAAATTATTATATTGAATGGACAAAAAAATAAAATATTATGTTATGAACCTCTGAATTCATTGTCCATTTCATCAACAACTAATGCAAGTTCATCACGTGCATCCACACTTTCTCCATCATCTGCATTCGGTTCAGCAATCCACTCATCATCAGATGATACATTATCAAAGATCAAGTTATCCTCTTTCTTTTGTAATCTGCTCTTCCTAAACTTCAACTTCTTGTTGAACATTATAAATACCAAACTATTCAACTTAATGGCTGAAAGACGATTCCTTCTATTCGTATGGCCTTGATTGAATGTGCTCCAATTTCGTTCACAAGCGGAAGAAGAACACGTCAAGCCAAGAATTTTGACCGCAAAAGCTCGCAGTTCTGGAATATGATCTCCAAATTGATCCCACCATTCCACTAAAAAATTTTAAAGAATTAAAAAAAAATCTATTTTACAACAATACACAAGTACACTATGTATAAACATTAAAGATATTAAAGATGTAGTTTAATGTATACCTGGGGCGTGTTTTATATGAATTTTGAGCCGCCCTCATTCCGAAAAGTCCACGCTTGTATCGATATTCATCCATTTGTGCATTAGCTTTATTAAAATCACTACTATCAGAAATAAGTCTCTCCATACAAGCATACAAACCTTTCTTAACCTCCACATGAGTAGAGAAGTCATCCTCCCATTTGAATCTGGGATTCAAATAATACGCTGCAGCGTGCAAGTCTCGATGCAGTTGGTGCTCCCACTTCTCATCAATTATCTTCCAAATCTCACTATAAGTGGAATATTGATTTCCAAAATTTTCTGCAATTTTTTCTTTTGCAGAATCCATAGCACCGTATATGAATCCCATTGCAGGCTCATCACCATCAACAATCCTCAACACTTCGACTAATGGCCTTGATGTTTTTATTGAGTAAGCAACCCCAGGCCAAAACGTTCTGTCATCCATCACAATCTTTTTAACCTCCTTCCCCTCGACTAATTTTGAATAACGACTTGAAGTCCACTGTTTAGAAACAAACATTCTTTGAAGAGGATCTTTTGCGGTGGCCATACAATCTAAAGTCAAGAAAGCAGTAGCAAACCTCGTGGGGCCTGGACGAACTAGGTCTTTCCCGATAAACTTCCTCATAAGCTGCAAAACCCATCCACGATTATAGATAAAATTAGTGACCTTCTTAGCTTTGATCAAGACATTTTTATTCTGTGGCAGCTCTCCAATCTTCTCAAGCATGAGGTCAATACAATGGGCGGCACATGGCGTCCAATACAAGTGCTTCCTCTTCTCCATTAAAAGTCTCCCAGCAGCTTTGTATGCACTTGCATTATATGTCACAATTTGCACTACCAGACTTTCTCCTATTTCCTCAACTACTCCGTCGAGCAATTCAAAAAGATAAGTTGCATCTTTAACTCGATCCGATGCATCAACAGATCTGAGGAAAACATTACCATATTGATTGTTAACAAGAATGTTAAGAAGCCCTCGGTTTCTTGTGTCACTCCATCCATCTGACATTATTGTAACTCCGGTGTACGGCCATGTCTTCTTCACTTCTTCCACATATGTGTTAGTGGTATCATATTCCGCTTTAAGGATCCACGTCCGCAACTCATGCATAGATGGGGGTTTAAAGCCTGCACCATAATTACTAACAGAACACAACATATTAAAATAAGAAGGACTACGGGCTACATTAAATGCTATTGCATTTTCAAAGAAAAATCTGCCCACATCCTGACAAACAAGATTGCGTCGCTCTCTAATGGTAGTTTTACTCATTTTGTTAGGCAAAATATCATCTTCTACAACTTCCTGCTCATTAGCTACATCTCTTGAGCTACTGCCTGGACGAGTAACGAAGCGATCAATAGGCCCACGCGGCTGAGGTCCAATTACTCCAGTACCAAAGTACGAGCCAGAATCTACCATTTCATCAAAAAATTTCTGGTTAACGTCTTTCTGATCTTGATAGCTCTTCAACATTGCTAGCACATCCTTTTTAACATTTTCGGGAACACTTTTGCATGGCGCCACATTTTTATGTGTTCCCGCAAGGTGCTCTTTAAGTCTCCTCACTCCACTGGTGATCACCTTATTGCAATATTTGCATTTCGCATATACATAACCAGTCTTTCCCTCCGGAGGATTCAATTTAATTCCATGCCGCCAAGCAGGATCCTTATCCTTATTTGAGCTGGACCCCTCTCCCCGATTCTTAATGGGTTTAACCATCGTGACTAATCAGCCCACTCCTATGAATAAAATGGTTTTTTACAAGAATTTAAGTAAACTAGTCACAATAAATAACCAAATAATTGATAATCAAGTTTAATAAAAAAATATAATCAAACTGTATGAACTTAACTAAAACATGTCTAATTAAAATTAAATCTTGACTGAAGCAAACTACTAAGCACGTAGTATTAAATTTTTAACAAATAAATTAGTATTTAGTAAGGTAAATCCGTAAATGATAGTTGTCTTATTAGTTGTTACTTATTAGAACTTCATTGTTTAAACACTAGGCTCATAAATTTATTAATAATTTGGTCTGACACATCACACATAAACACAAAAAATATTTAAAATTCAAAAAAGACACAAATACATTAATTAAACAATTAAAAAAGTTTAATAGTTAATACTACATTAATTAAACAATTAAAAAATTTAATTAATTAAACAATTAATTAACAACTGTTTAATAGTTAATACTACGTAACTTTTAATAATTCAAAACACTAGGCTCATGAAATCATTACTAACTTTGTCTTACACATCACACATAAACACAAACAGACATTTATGATCTTTTAAATTCAAAATAGACACAAATACATTAATTAAACTGAAACAGTAAAAAGTGAAACAATTAAATAAGCAGACAACTATTTAACTAAAAAAACTTTTAAATAAATACAAAGTTAAATAAAAAACTGCTCAGATTATAAATAAATACAAAGTTAAATACAAAGGCTGGATGAATAAATAAATACTCAGATTATAAATAAATACAAAGGTAAATAAATACAAAGTTACAAAGTCAAAAACTAAAACCACAAATACACTAACAAATTATAAATGTTGGGCGGTGGGGACTGGGGTATTGACGTATTGTAGAATACTGTTAATACCTGGAAGCGGCAAAGATGGCGCTGAAGTCGCAGGGAGCTGAAGTCGCTGATGTCCTGAGCAACTGATGCCGCTGAAGTCGTTGGGAGCTCCTAAAGTCGGCAACTGTTTCTTGTTTGTGGTTATAGAAGAAGACTGGAACGGCGATTGTTTATAGGTTGCTAAGTCCTAACTCCTAACCGATCTAGGTAAGTAGTATTTTAGGAAAAAAAATCCAGGCCCCCAATATTTTAAAAAGAAGAAGGCCCAAGTTACGTTAAATAAAAGGCGTACGCCCCTTAATTTCGCACCGCCTTGGAGCAGCTTCTACGCCTCTTCAAAAAAAGGCGTAAGCCTTGTTACGGGAATCTAAGGCTTAAGCATTAAGAGCGCAAACTGTCCGCCTTTGCGCCTTTGCGCCTCTGATGCGTAAAGGCGAAACGCCTTTTAAATCCATGCCTTGAGCAAGCGCCTCCAACCTCGGAAGAACAAATAATATTGACAATTGGATTTGTGAAAGAAAGATGAACTCTACATGAATTAATATATATATATATATATATATAATTATTTTTAAAATCAATGTTTTTTAAAATATTACGAAACTGGATTTTTAAAATATTAAGAAACGGGAAAAGCTGAAGCAATTTGTTAGAAAAATGAGATTGCCGTTAGCTAGGTGGATAAAAAATGGCCGAATCAATTGTTTTTTCAAGTTCAAATAACTGAAAGAATTGAAGGTTGAAAGTGTGCATTGCATTCGGATCAAGAGGTTAGAGTTTTTAGGTTTGCACATCCCTCCTACGTGGTTTGACAATCCACTTATTTAATGACATGTGTCCAATTTTTTTAATGTTGACGGCGGAGCGTTAAAGATGCTCTTATCACGGCCATATGGTACCACATTATACATGTCTTTATTTTTGGCGAGCAGCGTATTTTTGACTTCTTTATTTTTTATTCATTTTATTGTTAAACATTGTAATAACTTTTTTATTTCATATTCGACTTTTATAAATTCTATATTAAATTTTGTTATTTTTCATTATCTATCAAATGAGACCAATATTACTTATGTAATTTTAACAAATTATCGAACTATTATATAAGGGAAACCGAACTAAATTTAATATAGAAAAATAATTGTGTAAATCACAATTTATCTTAAAATTGTGTATATAAAAAAATTATTGTATTATGTATTTATACATTGAGTTAAATATTTTTATACGTAAAGTTACATATTTGTACATGTAAAGTTACATATTTATACATACGAGTTGCATTTGGTCTGCCTGAACGCGAGTTACATATTTTTACACGTAAAGTTACATATTTTTACACGTAAAGTTACATATTTATACACGCGAGTTACATATTTATACACACGAGTTGTATTTGACCTGTTTGAACGCAAGTTACATATTTTTACGCGTAAAGTTACATATTTTTATACGTAGAGTTACATATTTATACACACGAGTTACATTTGGCCTGACTGGACGTGAGTTACATATTTCTACACGTAAAATTACATATTTTACATAGGTTAATATAATAGTTCGATAATATGTTAAAATTACATAGACAATATTGGTCTCATTTGAAAGATCATGAAAAATAAAAAATTTGATATAAATTTTATAAAAACCAGATCACAAATGAAAAAGTTATTATAATTTTTAACAATAAGAGAAATAAACAAATAATAGGACCCACTATCATTTTAATACATGTTTCATGCGGTTACGGTGCTCACCGTATACCGGTCATACAGTATAACAACTAGGTATTGACCATCTTCACCTTCTCAAGATTTATGTCTCATTTTACGTGTCATATATTGATTTAACACAATTATTAACAAAGTGATTGAAAAAATAAAAGTTATGGTTCAAAATTGGATATAATAAGAAAATGTTGTAGATTATATATTTTTTTTTAAAAAAAAGAAAATGTAACGCTTATTTTGAAATAACTCAAAGATAAAAGTAAAACATATAGAATGAGATGAGGGGAGTACTCCATACTCCACAGTCCATATTACGGTATACGGAGTATCAAAATTTTCTATTATACAATTCTTCCATCCCAATTTTATGGTATCTATTTACTACTTTTGTTGCTTAAAATTTGTCATTTTTGACTTTTTAAGCACTAGTGCTAAAGTTTAGATAATGATTGTAATTAGTATAATCTTTATATATTTAACAATGGAATCGTTAGACAAATAACTGTTCCCGCCTCTTGGTCGCATGTGCATATCACATGTTAAGGAACTGGCGATTGTGTGTGCATGAAGTCTGGGAGAAACATGTCATAATGCTGGCAACAAATAATTCTGGTGGTTTCTAAGACGTGGTAAAGTAGCAGTTGATAAAAATAGATCAACTATATCAATTATCAGCCCACCCCAGTACGTAGGCGGTTAATTACCACTTCCAACCATTCAATGTTTCGCTGCAATGCTTCTGTAGATCACGGCTTCCTTTCCTCTTTAGAAATCATGGTAAAGTTGGTTACAAGCTTGCATTTTCTGATTATTCAACATCCAAAGTTGTGTTTACAATTCATTGTTACTCTTTTTTGTCTAATGTAGTGTATTAAATCTTTTCTTTAGTAGTATCCATCTGATAACAATTTTGCAGCAATCGAGGCTTCAGGTCGAGTTTGGTTCAATAGTATCCATGATGTTGAGGTAACCTTTAATTAAACTTTTATTAATGAGATTTTTCTTGTGTTATCTTATAAGGTTTACATATAATTTCAACATATTTTTCCTACACATTTATTTTATTTTGATGAAATTTAGCCCAAGCTCATATTAGTTAATAGGTAAATAATATTCTAATAACAACAAATGCTTTTCAGCATGTTCAAAGTTCGTAATGTTTTCAACATTAATGTAATAGAAAATTTTGAAATTGGGATAAATAATACTACGTATCTGAATTGAATAACAACAGATACTTCTACATGTAAGAAATGTTTAAACAATAACTAATTAATAGCTCATAAAGCCAAACAAAATTGAAGTTCTTAAAATATTAACTTACCTGCTATGAGTTTTTTTCACATCCAACCTCTTTTAACCAAGCTTCAATCACCGTGTAATGGCTAAGTAGTACATCAAGAATAAACCAATTAAAACTTTTCTAAATGAAGATTTAGAAACTTGTCTGAATAAACCAATAGTAAAACTTTTCTAAAACTTTTCTACATTGTATATTTTGTTTAAAAATTAGGGATCTAAACTTTTCTCAAAACTGAAGATAAATGAGAGTTCGTAATGTTATTTCTTTCGAAAAGAATATCTTTTGATCGATAGCATAATATCTCAATGATCATCAAAATGAACATAAACATGAGTTATTTGAAATCAACAATATACACACGTTAACTCATCTATAGCATAGACTGAAAATATATAAAACAATGTATGTGCCATGTGTGTTTGCTTAGAAAGTAAATATATTACTCCATCCGTCCCAAAAAATATTCCCCGGTTTGAATTGGCACGCTTATTAAGAAAGTGGAATAAAGTGGAAATGTGTGGTTGTAGTTGTGTAGGAAAAATGTAAAATGAATGTGAGCCACACAAATTGTCCAAAAATGGGAAGTGGAAAGTATTTTTTGGAACGGCCCAAAAAGGAAAGTGTGAAGTATTTTTTGGGACGGAGGAAGTAGAAAAATATTAGAGCCCGTTTGACAACAATAAAAATGATTGAATTGACCGGATTCATTAAAATTGGTGAAATTCTAGGTGAAATGACTTAATTAACTAAAAATGTTGAATTATAAAAGATATTGAAAATATACTCAGTTACTAGATTATAAAATAGACTTCGTAAATAGTATTTGAAAAAAGCAAAAATAGTTCTTAACCAATTTCAAATCAATTTATTTTGAATGCCCAATAATTCATCATGAAAGGTCAAAATTTGCACATGTCATTTTATTAAAATAAATGTATCTTACATTAATATTTAATATTTTAATATTTCAATATTTTTGTCCCGTGCATCGCACGGGTACCGTACTAGTATTAGGAAAGTTATAAATTTTATACTTGTAGTATTAGCTTATTTTATCTCAAATTATTATCAAATTTATCCATTCTTTGACTTTTATAAAAAAAAGATTCAAACTTCATCTTTTTCAACAATTATGCTTTTCTTTTTTGTTTTTTTTTCAAAATTACACATTTTTAATAATCTCAATATGATATAAGCAATACAAGTTTGTAAACTTAAAACTAGAAAGAAGTGAAAAAATATGAAATATAAATATGATTTTCTTCTTAAATTTTACTAAATCATCTATTGAAAGTGTAATTGTGAGAAAAGTTGAAGTTTGAGTTTTTTTTTTTGAATAAAAGTGAAAGCATGAGATAGTTTTGTTATCATAGTTGGGGATATATTTAGCTAATAATTCTTTAACTTTGATGAAGATACTTTTAAGAAAGAACATTTTTCATATCATTTTATATTATAAATAACTTCCTATGAAATATATGTAATTGTTCAAACTTGAACTTGGTTGACCAAAAAATTCAAAGATGCCAAAGTTTTAAGAGACGGAGGGAGTACTTTTATGATATCAAATATCCCAAAATGATAGTTGCATTTTTTTTATTTACCCTTCATTTAATATCCTAATACCCTATTTAACCTTATGTCTATTTACCTCTTCATTTTCGATGTCCACTCATTTCCTTATTCTTCGGCCCGTCTACTTTAGACTCTCATCTCCTTCATTTCTGTTTGTAGCCCCAATCCTCTCTCTCATTTCCTTGTCCTCTGTCTCTCTGTCCAGTGTTGGCTCTACGGGGTGCAAGTGCCCCTGTTGCACGGTGCAACAGGGGCGACCGCCCTAGGCTCAAGAAAATAGCAAGAAAAAATAGGCCAAAAAATATTTCTTTATATGTAGTTTGAGTAGATTTCTTTTTTTTAATTTTTAAACTCGGTTAATTAGGCTCAAGGTTTAATTTTTAAATAAATGTAAAGAGGCACATCTGTCTTAATTGTCTTCACATCTCTATGCTTTATAGTCCTATTAATTACAATATTGTCAAGTTATGTTAAGCTTTCCAATTCCAAAACTCAATTGGTAAAGCCAATCCGAATTGATTTGTTGTTTCCAAACTCCTAAATCAACAAGAGTAAAGAATGTTGCAATGCGGAGAGTGCTTCAGCGGTTTGTTAAGAAGCCAATCAATCGAGTAGGCCAACCGGTGGTCGGTGACCAAAAAAAATCTTCTTTCAAGGTTTCAAACAATCCAATAATGACCAACAAACTAATCTTGATAAAATGGCTGAATTAGGTTGGCATAAAGAGAGAAAGGGGACAATATTAGAAAAGGTAGGCTAAGTCAGAAGGGATCAATGAAAAATTCTGTTTTTGTTAAGAAATTAAATTTTGGAAATTCCGCGAAAAACGTTTTTAAGTAATACTAGTTACTCCACCTGTGCGCTGCACGGGAGTGAGACACTCACATAATAATTTAGATATAATTATATATTTAAAAATATTTAAAAAAACATGATTGTGTTAGAATAATTTGAAAACATTAAATAAATTCTGAATAAATGGTAAGAACTACATGTAAAACATCACACGATGAAATGGATGTGCATGTAAGTCCACTACACTATAACGAAAATTATAAATTACTCTATAGTACATATTTCTTTGTAAACAACAGTCAATGTTGATTTGGTTGGTTGTCCATCTTCATCATTACAAACTCCAATCCCATGAACTTGTTACTCTCCACACCGCCACATACAAATGTTTGTGAGTGATGAAGGGACGTCAGAGTAAGATGACAACCTTTTTCAACGATTGTCTGTGACTTTTATTAATGATCATTGCAAATATAACAATTAATAGAAATTGTGTGTGCTGAAAATCTACATAGTCTAATGTCTAATGGTGCTAAAGTGAATCTAAGAATAATAAATTTTTTACCGACATTTTCTCCATGAATCATTTGAGCCTTGATGGTATGACCTCCAAGTATAATCACCACAAATGGTGTACAATTGTACAATTCGGATGAATGATCTATATTCCTCATAAGTGAAAGTGAAATTACATTTTAGGATTTCAGGATTAGACGGGAGAATTTTCTCTCTCCAGTGTATTGCTTTTAGGTATATGTTTTTTTTTGCGGAAAGTGAAATTACTTTTTAGGATTTTAGACGGACAATGCTTAGGCGGGAGAATTTCCTCTCTCCAGTGTAGTGCTTTTAGGTATAGGATTATTATTTTTGCGGAAAGTGAAATTACATTTTAGAATTTTAGGTAGAGAATGCTTCGGCGGGAGAATTTTCTCTCCAGTGTAGTGCTTTTAGTTATAGGATAAGCGGAGAATGCTTGGACGGGAGAATTTTCTCTCTCCAGTGTAGTGCTTTTAGGTATATAGGATGATGATTTTTTTCTTTACGGAAAGTGAAATTACATTTTCGAATTTTAGGCAGAGAATGCTTAGGCAGAAGAATTTTCTCTCTCCAGTATAGTGCTTTTAGGTATAGGATAAGATGATGATTTTTTTTTGTGGAAAGTGAAATTACATTTTAAGATTAGAGGGAGAACGGTTAGGCGGGAGAATTTTCTCTCTCCAGTGTGGTGCTTTTAGGTAAGATATGATGATTTTTTTTTTGCGGAAAGTAAAATTACATTTTAGGATTTTAGAGGGAGAATGCTTAGTCAGAAGAATTTTCTCTCCAGTGTAGTGCTTTTAGGTGTAGCATAGGATAGGCGGAGAATGCTTAGCTGAGAGAATTTTCTCTTTCCAGTTTAGTGCTTTTAGGTATACGATGATTTTTATTTTGCGAAAAGTAAAATTACATTTTAGGATTTTATTCGGAGAATGCTTAGGCGGGAGAATTTTCTCTCTCCAGTGTAATGCTTTTAGGTATAGCATGAAATTACATTTTAGGATTTTAGGCTTAGTCGGGAGAATTTTCTCTCTCCAGTGTAGTGATTTTAGGTATATGATTTTTTTTGCGGAAAGTGAAATTACATTTTAGGATTTTAGGAGGAGAATGTTTAGGCGAGAGAATTTTCTCTCTCCAGTGTAGTGCTTTTAGGTATAGGATGATTTTTTATGCGGAAAGTAAAATTACATTTTAGAATTTTAGACGGAGAATGCTTAGGCGGGAAAATTTTCTCTCTCCAATGTAGTGCTTTTAGGTATAAGATTTTTCGAAGTTGAAAATTCTGATGAATTATCTGCGATAGACTATGTCTCAAGAAAGATTTAATGGGTTAGCAAATTTAAGTATTGAACATGAGATAATGGAAAAAGTTGATTATGAAGTGATTATTGATGATTTTGTTTCACAATATCCTACGAGCAAGATTTTTAAATAAAGTTTTTCTTCTATGTGATACTTGTGTTGTTGCTTTTCACCAAATATGTATTTTAAATGATAACAATAAAATGAGATTCGTTTTTATTTTTTGACCTTTAATAGATAACTTTATTATAATTTATTTTAAATAAGTATAGTCTATTGTTTGTCTTGAATATGAGCCCATCTCACCCATAGGCCCAAAAATCGAGAAGATGTGTCTGTCCTATGATGGCAGTTAAACTTGTTTTTTTTTATGTTTTCCTTTATTTTTCATTTACGTGCATGTAAGTAGTTTCCTTTATTTTGCACGTTGTTTAGTTGTGTACGTGCAGCACAATATGAGGAGGTTTTTTCGTCCACTTGGGTAAACCACTTTCCCCATGTTTTATCTATATAATATGGCGTGAAAGAGGTATGATCTAAGATGGTTTTTCCTCCCTCATGACTGCTTATTATCTGTATACATTTGGCCTATAGTTTCTACGTAATGCATGTCACATAGCTTGTATGTTACTGAGTGTTCGTTCTTAATCTTCAAGTCCATAATTTGAAGAGTGTGCGTGTGTATGAACACAAGAGTAAATCCTACATTTGGTATCAAAGCTAAAGGTTAAAAGCAATCCTGTAGGAAGCCATGAGTTCATCATCATCAACAAGTGAGGGAGTTGGAGATACACGTGGTGTCTTTAACCATGATGAAAATGACACTGACAAGTACCTTAGCAAAGAAGGTACAATCAACCTGAAGTATCCAATGTTGAATCGTACCAGCTATGCAGCATGGGCCATAAAGATGGAGGTCTTTATGATAGCCCAAGGTGTGTGGGATGCTGTGGAAGAAGAGGGGCCAATAGACAGAAAGAAAGATAAGATGGCTTTGGCTGCCATTTATCAGGGTATAGGAGAAGATACCTTGCTTGAGTTGGGGGCCAAAAGAACAGCAAAAGAAGCATGGAATGTGCTTAAGACAATGAACCTAGGTGCAGAAAGAGTTAAGGAAGTTCGCTCACAAACTCTACTAAGAGAGTTTGAAGGTCTGACTATGAATGATAGTGAAAGTGTAGATGATTTCACTGAAAACCTGTAGATCATTGTAACCAAACTGAGAGGTCTTGGAAATGACATTGAAGAAGAGAAGATAGTTAAGAAACTGATGAGGGTTGTCTCACCCAAATTCCTGCAGATTGCATCAACAATTGAAGAATTTTGTGATCTTAAGGTGAAAACTTCAGAGAAAGTTATAGGGTCCTTAAAGGCACATGAAGAGAGATCGCAGGGAAAAACAAATGCAAGTGAGGAAACTGTATTACTCACCAGGGCAGAGTGGAAAGCTAGGGAGGATGCCAGATCTCATAATAACACAAATAGAGAACAAAGCAGTTCTAGAGGAAGGGGTAGAGGTCGTGGCAGAGGAAGAGGTCAAGGAAGAACCAAACATGATGAAGATCTACCTCAACAAAAACGCAAGTTTGACAAATCCAAGATTAAGTGTTACAACTGTGGCAAAATGGGACATTTTGCCTCTGAGTGTACTCAGGAAGAAAAGGAAGAGGAAACAAACTTGATAGAAGAAGAAGAAGTAGAGGCGACACCTTCACTCATGATGATTGAGACATGTGAACTTACCAAATCACACATCTCATCAAAATTGGAAATCCAAGATATCAAGGAGGACTCTATGACCTGGTGGTATCTGGATACAGGAGCAAGCAATCATATGACTGGAATCAAGAGTTACTTCACAAATATGGATGCTACTATTCAAGGGAAGGTCAGATTTGGAGATAATTCTATTGTTGATATAAAAGGAATAGGGTCTGTTGTGTTCCAATGTAAGACAGGTATGCATACGACTTTACCAAATGTTTATTATATTCCTAAACTCAAGAGTAATATCATTAGTCTTGGGCAACTTGATGAACTGGGAAGTCATGTGATACTTAAGAAAGGAGTTTTGAGTGTATTTGACAAAGAAAATCAGCTCATGTTAAAGGTGAATAGGAAGCAGAATAAGCTGTTCATGGTCAATCTTAATGTGGTTCAAAAGAATTGTTTGTTAAGCAAGACAACAATCATAGATTGATTGGCTTTGGTATGCTAGGTTTGGACACCTGAATTTTCAGGCACTACATAAGATGACAAATTTTGAAATGATGGAAGGAATGCCTAAAATTGCAAAAGTGAATCAAGTGTGTGATGGCTGTATGCTAGGTAAACAACATAGGTCTCCATTTCCTCAGAAAACATCATATAGAGCACAAGGAATGCTAGAACTGGTTCATTGTGATCTGTGTGGTCCAATTAAACCACAAACTTCAGGAGGGAAGAATTATTTCATGTTATTGGTAGATGATTGCTCTCGTTTCATGTGGGTAACATTGCTGAAACATAAGGGAGATGCATTTGAAGGTTTCAAGAAACTTAAGAAAAAGATAGAGGGACCAGCTGGTTTAAAGCTCAAGTGTTTGAGAATAGATAGGGGAGGAGAATGCACTTCACAGGATTTCAGGGCATTTTGTGAACAAGAAGGAGTACAAAGACACCTCACTGCACCCTATACACCTCAGCAGAATGGAGTAGTGGAGAGGAGAAACCAAACTATTATGGAAATGGTGAGAAGTATGATGAAAAGCATGTCAATTCCTGAAAGGTTTTGGGGGGGAAGCTGTGAGTACAACAGTGTATATTTTAAACAGAACTTTGACAAGAAGTGTAGATGGTAAAACACCTTATAAAGTCTGGCATAACAAAATTCCAAATGTTAGTCACTTGAGGGTGTTTGGATGTCTAGCCCACATTAGAGTTGTTGCAGCTCATTTGAACAAACTAGCAGATAGAAGTGTCAAAGGTGTAATGTTGGGTTATGAGGATGGCACAAAGGCATACAGGTTGGTTGAACCAATGAAGGAGAAAGTGATCATTAGCAGGGATGTAAAGTTTGAAGAAGATAAATCTTGGCCATGGAATGCCAGAGCAGAGGAAGAGCTAGAGCCAGAGAAAAATAACTTTGAAACCACCATATCAAGGGAAAGAAAGGATCAAAACCTAGAAGGCCAGACTGAAGAAAGAGGAGAAAATGGCAGTCACTTGAATCATGATGTTTTTGTGGACACATCTGGGTCATATGACAGCTCGAGTGAAGAACCTTTGCATTATAGATCTCTACAAGAAATATATGATGCAACCAGAGAAATCACAGAAGAAGTCAACTTGTGTTTTCTATCCATAGATGAACCAGAAAATTACAATGAAGCAGCAGAAAGGAAGGAATGGAGGCAAGCAATGAATCAAGAGCTTGATTCCATACAAAGAAATGGAACCTGGGAGCTGACTGACCTTCCAAATAACCATAAAGCCATAGGGCTGAAGTGGGTTTTCAAGGTAAAGAGGGATCCGGAAGGCAATATTTCCAAACATTAGGCAAGACTTGTTGCAAAGGGATACATTCAGAAATATGGATAAGACTACTTGGAGGTTTTTGCACCAGTAGCTAGAATGGAAACTGTGAGGACAATGTTAGCTCTCTCAGCACACAAGAAGTGGTTAGTTCATCATATGGATGTAAAGACTGCTTTCTTGAATGGGGAATTAAAGGAGGAGGTTTATGCCAAGCAGCCAGAAGGGTTTGTGAATGAAGACTATCCAAACAAAGTTTTGAGATTGCATCAAGCATTATATGGCCTAAAACAGGCTCCAAGAGCTTGGAATGAAAAACTGGATGGATGTTTGAAGTCTCTTGGTTTCAAAAGGTGTATATATGAACATGCACTTTATGTAAAGGCTACAGAGGAAGATGTAATCATGGTTGGAGTATATGTAGATGATCTTTTCCTCATAGGTTCAAATTCAGAACTCATACAAGATTTTAAGACAGAAATGAAGAAAATGTTTGAAATGAGTGATCTTGGGTTGCTGAGCTACTATCTAGGGCTGGAGGTAAAACAAGAGGAGGGAATCATAAGTCTGAATCAGTCATCATATGCCAAGAGAATTCTTGAATTAATGGGAATGGGAGAATGCAACCCCTGCAGCATACCAATGTAGCCTAGAAGTAAACTAAGCAAATTTGATGATGGTTTGCTAATAGACTCTACTCTTTAAAGAAGTATTGTAGGAAGCCTAAGATACTTGGTGAACACACGCCCTGATATAGCCTATTCTGTGGGAATTGTAAGCAAATATATGGAGGCACCAACACAGACACACATGAATGCAGTCAAGCAAATCCTAAGATATGTCAAAGGGACAAGTGGCATGGGGTGTGTTTTCAGGTATGGACATCAAAGCAACATATTGACTGGTTTTTGTGACAGTGACTTGGCAGGTGATGTGGATGACAGGAAGAGTACAAATGGGAATTTTATTCTTTCTTGGTCAGAATCCTATAACTTGGGTATCACACAAGCAGAAAATTGTAGCACTCTCCTTTTGTGAGGCAGAGTACATTGCAGCCACGGGGGGAGCTTGTCAAGATATTTGGCTCATGAAGTTACTAGAGAGTTTGAAAGGAGAAGTAAGAGGCAAACCAATACTGAAAGTTGACAACAAGTCAGCTATTGCGTTGGCAAACAATCCAGTACACCACGAACGAAGTAAGCACATTGACACTAAGTTTCACTTTATACGTGAGTGTGTTGAAAAGGGAAAGATTGACTTGGAGTATATAAGAACAGAGGAACAGCTTGCAGACATATTAACAAAGCCGCTTGGAAGGCAGAGGTTTATGGAGCTCAGGTCAAAGATTGGAGTGCAAAGTACGAAGCAAGGAAAACAAGTTTAAGGGGGAGAATGATGGCAGTTAAACTTGTTTTTTTTATGTTTTCCTTTATTTTTCATTTACGTGCATGTAAGTAGTTTCCTTTATTTTTCATGTTGTTTAGTTGTGTACGTGCAGCACAATATGAGGAGGTTTTTTCTTCCACTTGGGTAAACCACTTTCCCCATATTTTATCTATATAATATGGCATGAAAGAGGTATGATCTAAGATGGTTTTTCCTCCCTCATGACTGCCTATTATCTGCATACATTTGGCCTATAGTTTCTACGTAATGCATGTCACATAGCTAAATAGCTTGTATGTTACTGAGTGTTCATTCTTAATCTTCAAGTCCATAATTTGAAGAGTGTGCGTGTGTATGAACACAAGAGTAAATCCTACATCCTATGCATGTTCTTCCCTTTATGATGCATATGCCGTCGTTAAAAACATCATTTGAAACCACCATCGTGTTACTAGGGATTCTCAATATCTAGATTATGCCCATGATGCCTTGTTATTTCTGGAATTTGCCATTCAAGAGATAGAGATGGTGAAGGGATAAAATCCTCATCTAACGATGAGAAGAATGTTGAGTGCGGTGATGAAACAAACCTTAGCTTGGGAAGTGTTGACGGAAGTACAAGGCCGGTGGAGACGAGCGTGGAGACAAAGAGAGAAGAAGATTACAAAGCCAACAATTCTTGTTGTACCTTCTTATACACATCAGTACACCCAAGTGTTTGTGAGAGTTTTTTTATCTGTGAATCGCAGTCCACAGACAAAAACTGATTTGTTTTGTCTGTGAAAAATTCTACAGACAAAATAAACCAGTTTTTGTCTGTGGACTGGGATTCACAGACAAAAAAAAACTCTCACAGACACTTAGGTGTACTGATGTGTATAAGAAAGTGTACAAAAGGAATTTTTGTTACAAAGCAGATCTGAATCTGTGCGGGGAGGGCACATATGTCACAAACCCGAATTTGGAATATGGAGAGGAGGTGAATTCTCCTCCGTGTTTGTGGTATCTAGCTGGAGCAAGGAATCAACGGTCTAACATGATTCAGCTAACTCTTTTGAAGCTCTTTGAGGCTCCTCCCATCTCCTTCCTACAAATGGAATTGATGTGATTTGCTTACTTCCTCCAGTGTCTGTGTATCTAAACCCCTCTCTCTCTTCGTTTATTACATTGCCAGTATGGTTTACTCTCGACTTGATATATGATGTTAATTGTGGTATTAACTGTGTGGGTTTGTTAACGTGGTTATGAACATGTAGGAGGTGAAATGTTGTGATTATGATGCTTTTGTGATGACTATGATCACTCGTACGTGTGAGGCTATGATTGACTTACTTCAAGTGTAGCACCAATTTTGATGTCTTTGTGAGACTTATATGATTGTCTAAGTATGTTAATGTGGTTATGAAAATGAAAAAGAGGTGAAAAGATGTATTGATTGTCACCCATATTGTAACCGAGTCTGATAAGTCCATATTTCGACACGCATTTGATGCGTATTGAGATCGGATTTTGATGGGTTTTCAAGCTTAAAGGTGTCACAAGTCTCCTAATTAGCTGAAGTCATAGACTCATAGTTTACCGGGTTTAGGTTTGCATGCATTTGGTGTTTTTAGAATTAAAATCAGGAAATTGGGCCTGACACCGGCATGGGAGAATTAATCAGGAGGACTTGAAACACATTTGAGAGTTATTGAGAATGATTGAAGGTCCACGATTCATGAAAGGAGTGATTTTGAAGTCAAGAGAGCTCAAGGATCAAGTTTGAGATTAAACACGGACGAATAGACCTTGAAAACGGCGATCAGGATGACAATATATCAACCGTTCAAGCATATCTTTTTGTAGATACATCCAAAGTGAACGATTCAAGTTCCATATGAAAGCTAACTTCATGGGACAAAAATCATATGAAGAAACCATGCCGAGAATCTGAGAGGATTAAGGTCAAAACAAATGAGAAAGTCAGATAATCGCTGTTGAGATTTCAGGATGCGACCTTCCACCATTTTATTTATATCTTTTGAATGGGTGATCCAATATCAGTTTTGCAAGTTGTGGTAGATAGAGGACTTCATTATATACAACTTTAGTGAAGGAAGCATAGTCCAATTCAGAAGGGAAAGATGCAGGCTGCGTGCCCGAAGTAAGCACGCCGTGCACGGAAACAGAAATCACGCAGAGTCTACTGGAGGCCAGGCACGCCGTGCCCGTCATTTTTTCCGCCCCCGGGTATCCTTTTTCTGCCAGAATTGCTACTTTTTCTATTTAAACATCATGTAAACCCCTATTTTTAGTAATAGAGCTTATGAAGAGGCCTAGGACGGAATTTTAGGACGGAATTTTAAGTAGATTTCCATTTAGTTATTCAAGATCCTCGAATTATTTGTAAGTTTCATCTTTTTAATTAATGACAATTAATTCATTTCATCCCAATTATCTTGATTGCTCAATTATGAGTTGTGAGTAATTGTAATTAGGGATTTGGGATTGATGAAGGGGCTAATCATGATCTAGGATTAAATTTTTGATGAATTAATCGCATGAATCTTTATTTAATTTGTGTTATGATTTAATTGATATCTCTTGTAACCTAGAACTGCAGCTAGGATTATAATTGATTGTAGAATGCATTAAGAGAGATCTAATTTATTCTAGGATACCTTCACAAACACTTAATCGTTCACTAAGAGATTAGTAACGATTAAAGAATTGTACGCTCGCTCATCTTGGCAATAATTTGGATACTTGTCGCATGAGAGATCAGGTTCCCTAAATTATTGTACTCTACACCGCAAGAGCGATAAGAATTTAGTATTGATTAGCGTTGCTCAATTAAATAATTTTCATGCGATTACGCCTGATCTGCCAGAAATCTGATTAACCTGGAATCAATTCCTATTCCCTTCGATCATTAATTAGAAAGAACCCCTTAATTTTAATTGCATTTTCGCATTTTAATTTTTCAACCCAAATCTCACACAATTGCATTTTTTTATTTATTGTTATCGTTGAATCTGGTTAGGTCCTGATTTCCTTTTTCCGTCCTTGTGAAGACGATATTCATACTTTTACCCTTTACCACTACATATTTTTAGTGCGAGAAAACTCACATTAGAGTCCATACTTATGATGCTTTGTTCTGGTTATGGTGCGTTTGTGATGACTGTGAGCATGTGGACACTTGTGTGAGGCTGAAATTGACTTATTTGAAATCCAACACTTGATGACTGTGAGCATGTGAACACTTGTGTGAGGCTGTGATTGACTTATTTGAAATCCAACACTGATTCTGATTCCTTTATGAGACTTATTTGATTGTGATGAACTCTGCCCAAGTAGTTTAATGTGGTTATGAGCATGTGATTGACTTTATTTGAAGTTAAACATCGATTCTAATGTTTTTGTGCGACTTACTTGTGAATGAAGTAGTGTGAGTGCAAGTGACTGATTGTGTTCAGTGAAGTAGTGTGTGATCAAGCATAAAAGATTTGAGATTACAAATTAAAAAAGCTCATGAATTAGCATTGCATATATTGGCCAACTATTCAAGAAAAATCATGGGCAAAAAGTGAGGATACCGAGCTTATCCAAGAGATGAATGATGCTTTCTAACATCTCTATGATGATAAATTTGTCAAGTGAGATTTTTGTCACTTACTTATAATAAACATGTAACTCGCTGTATATTGTTTGTGATGCTCCATTCAACTGTTTTATTGCATCTTCTACTATCTGCTTGTCAGTTTGTCCATTACAATGTTGGTAGGAACATTACATTGTCTTTCAAATTTGTGCTTCCCAATATGCTGAAGGCTATAGTTATGTCCCCTATTAACCTTCATAATTTCTTTCATTGTGAGTTGCAGTGTTAGCTAAACATGATTTAGTGTTTTGGGGACATCGGGGACAACCTTGTGAATGCATCTTGAACATTTTCAAGCAACTCGTCAATTGTTTTATTGCATGTTTTGTATTGCAAAGAATGTGTGGAATTGAAAATCCCCAAGTCTAGGACATTCATGTTTGGACTGTTAGGTGGTTACGTTGATCACATTATATTTCAACAATCCTCCCTTGCTGCCTCTTTGAATTCTTGATCCTTTTTGGTAATGTTTGGTTTGACATTATCTTGTTAGATGATATCTTCCCGAACTTATGCTATTGACCACTTAGCTTTGATGGTTGGAATGAGTTATGTCAGTAACATTTCCATGTAACCTGTTTTTGTGACTCAAAGAATTGGCTTTATTTGCATTGCGTGTTTTGGCATGGTTCTACTGTTTCTTGATGCTTCCACCTTCTCCACAAACGGCCATATCCCTATTTTTCCATCTCATCAAGCCCCCCCTTGGCTAGCCAAAATTGGTTTAACCACAACACACAAAAGCATCACATTGGTTATATAAACCTTTTAGTTTTGCAATGTCTATCCACGAGGTCTCTCCATCATGAATTTATTATCTTGTCATTATTTTGCTTAAGTTAAACCACTTCTCATCTATGCATAGATTTCTCAAACCCTTGAAATGTGAGTGTTTGGTAAGAAAGCTGGAATTAAGTGATAAAGGCAAAATTAACATCGTGTTCTTTTGTTCTGTTTTGTCAGAAATGACTTTATGGTGCTTGTGTGTGCTTTTACTTCACCTCTCAGTTTCATTTTGTAAAATGTGATTCTAAACTTTTTAGGGCATGAAAGGCTGGCCTTATGTTGGTCCTCTTGTTCAAAGCAACGTCCTCAAAACTCTAAAGGGTACAATTACCCTTTTTCCGATGTGTCCAATCACCTTGTGAATTACATCTATGCTTTGAGCATTTTTTAAGTGCTACTTTACAATATGCCACATTCTAGACATAGCTTTTTTGGACACGTTAAAAAGTATTTGTACCTCTGTTCATTACACCACGATGAAGTAGCCCAAAGTTATCCATATTCTTTAGAAAACATTCCTTTATTTGTTTTTTCAGTGTTTGCGTAGGTGCAAGTGCAGGTGAAGGGGAGTGAGGAGGTGATGGGGTGAAATTCGAGATTAATGGTGGCAGACGAAGTAGTCTTTAATGTTCTATTTATAAGGGTGATGTTGTATTTGAGGTTTGTAACTTTAGAGGATTAATTTTTGTGTTCCCTCCCTTTTTGCTTCAACAAATAATGTTTAGGAGGGCAGTTACAATTCATTTGTTCAGACCTATGGATGTGATATTGAAGTACAATAAGCGAATAATTATCAAATCATCAAGCAATGCCAAATTGGTTATTAAAGTTATCCACTGTAAAAATATGGTAAAGGTAGTTACAATAATGGTATTGTGTCTTTTTATATCACTTTCTTAATTTTTGTGCTCAAAAATTTTGACACCATCAAACTGGGACGGAGGGAGGATGTACTATTTTTATAAAATTCTTATACTTTAATTAGATAGGTACATGTTCGCCCCTTGAATTTAGTTTTCAGAATTAATTTAAAATCTTACATAATACGATATTTAATAGGAGATGCACATAGAGAAAAATTTATAGAAATTTATCGATCTGTACTTGGACAAATAAACAATATAATAGAACATCCCATCACTGGTTTACGACTTAAGATACTTATTCTATAAAAAATCTTAGTGTAATGTTTAATTTATCTCTATTAGATAATTTGTACTCATGATCAATTTTGTAAAATATAAAACAATATTAAATATCAGGCACACTAGTTAAATAGTTT